CCGCGTCGAGTGTTGTATCAGTACGGACATACGAAGGTACTGGGTAGAGAGAGATCGGAACGGTTTTAAATGTGAAGACAACAACAACAACAACAACAACAACAATATGATCTCCAAGCAGAGGCTCTTCCAAGCAAAGAAACGCAGGCTGTTAGTGTGCACTGCCGCCTTCAGCGGTCTGTGGTGTTGAGACTGGGTGCAATGTTATCCCAGGAACAGCACATGAAAAAAGACCATGTATTATATACATCCGTCACGCAAGCCTCTCAGGCAAGTAAGTGAGCTCGTGGGCTCTTTCTCTCTCAAGCACCAGGGGTCTTCTCCTACCCCCCATACACTTCATACCCATTCACGCACCCCCCCATCAGGCGCATACAGCGCATGTAGATCGGACACATATCCGAAGTACCACAAACAGCCCCCCTACTTGATATGCCGTACGATCTCCCAACCAATGCAAAAACGCGCCGTCTCGCGAATAAGGTCGTCATGCGCATGGCCGAGAGCAACGTGGAGATCGTTAATATCCATTGCGAGCGGCATGCCTGGGCGCATGAGAGCCAACGCCGAGCCGCGACCACCGTCACCACCACCGCTTCCACCGCCGCCGTCACCGCCGCTACGCCAGTTGCCGCAGCCGTCCCCGACACCGCCACCGCCGTCCCTGACACCACCGCCGCCGTCACCGCCGCCACCCCCAACGCCTCCACCGTCGGTGAAGCCGCCTCCGTTGCAGTGGCCACCGCCGTCGCCGCCGCCACCGCCGCCGCCGCCGTGACCGCCACCGAAATGGACGGCACCCCAGCGGCCAGCGGCGCCAACGTGAGCACTGTGGGCATGAACGANACCACCGCCGTCGCCGCCGCCACCCCCAACGCCTCCACCGTCGGTGAAGCCGCCTCCGTTGCTGTGGCCACCGCCGTCGCCGCCGCCACCCCCAACGCCTCCACCGTCGGTGAAGCCGCCTCCGTTGCTGTGGCCACCGCCGTCGCCGCCGCCACCCCCAACGCCTCCACCGTCGGTGAAGCCGCCTCCGTTGCTGTGGCCACCGCCGTCGCCGCCGCCACCCCCAACGCCTCCACCGTCGGTGAAGCCGCCTCCGTTGCTGTGGCCACCGCCGTCGCCGCCGCCACCCCCAACGCCGCCGCCGCTGTGACCGCCACCGAAATGGACGGCATCCCAGCGGCCAGCGGCGCCAACGTGAGCATTGCGGGCATGAACGAGGGGGGGCACGCGGGTGGCTTGCGCGTAGTTGCCATGCTTCGTCTTGAGGAATTTGATACGACCATCCAGCATGCGAAAACCGGCGTCGAAGAGGGTGATATCGAAGGAATGACATTAAATGACATCAGGTGATACGCAAGGCGGGGGACAACAGCAACGTCGTGGAGGGTGATACGAACGTCGCCGTGGTCGCCACGCAACACCAAGTCCAGCGAACCGTACCCAAGAACTTCCGCGGGGTCACCGGTGGCAACATCGATGTACCGTTCAGCTACCGTAGGCGGGCGTATGTTGTAGACGAAGTCTGTGCTGTTGGTGCTGTGAGTAGACGCGGCACTATCACCTACCCACCAGTCGGTACGCCCAGACGCCGACAGCAAAGTAGGGGCAGGGGCGGGCGGGTACGCTACAGGGTGACGGTGTTGGCAGAAAACGTTGACAGAAAAGCGATTGGGGGGGGGATCTCCCGCCGCTCCGGTGCCGAATGAACCCGCGTGACCATCCCCCCTACTCCATCAACGAATTCACCCCCACCGCCACTGACCTGTGTATCCACTCCGGCAGCAGCTCCGCCATCCCCCCACGCGCGGCCTTCCTGCTGCGGCTGCTGCTGTTGCTGCTGTTGCTGCTGCTGCTGCTGCTGCTGCTGATTTCCATCACCCATAGAAAACCTGCCTCTACTACCTTCCCCACCCACCGAGCCAACCTGCTGCTCCGGCTGCTGATGCTGGGGCATGCCACCATAGCCGTTGCCGCCAGAACCTTGCCATGGCTGCACATCTCCGCCGGAACCACCCGGATGTACCACGGCGAGACGATGTTGTGGAAGAGGCGCCTACACGGGCCAATGACGCGCCATCGACCCGTCCCTGCAACTTGCCGGATATTCCTGCTGCGCGCTGTTGAGATGGGAGTACTGGCGAGGAGGTTGCTGCGGGAAAGGTTGCTGTTGGAAAGGCTGTTACGGCTGTGGCATGACAGCGTTCAGGTGGGGCACCTGAGACGCGTGGGGAGCCGGCTGCTATCGCGGCGGCTACTGCAGATGGTTGGAGTTGACGCGATCGTTGTATTTGCAGTTTCGCGCGGTGTGACCGAATTACCCACAAACACAACACCTACCGTACAAGCGGCGAGGGGCCTGGCAGGCGATGGCCGTGTGTCCAACATGACCGCATCGACCGCATATGTGCACGGTGCACATCGGTGATCCCGGGGGGATCGTGGACTCCGGCTGCGGCCACGCTGCGTTCCGCCCGGGGTCCATGGGGCCGCCCAAAATAAAACCCGCCTCCATCAAAGGACTGGTCTGCTGCTGCTGCAGCGGGAGAGAATTGGGGGAGGCGGAAAAATGCTGAGGGTGCCGCCGTTGATTCTGCTGCTGCGGTGCCTGCTGCTGGAACGATGGCTGCGACTGCTGCTGCTGTTGGCGATAACCCCCCTGGTACTCTGGGACCCTCCTCCCCACCCTGGCTGCTGCTGCTGCCCATCTCTACCATGCTGCCTGCCTTGGGAAAAACCTCCGGTCCTCCGCTGCGGACCGCCGCCGCCGCCGGCGCTGCCGCCGCTAGGCCGTGAATTTCCGCCGAAGCGAAGAGCGTGCGGGTCGCCGGCCGGCGCTGCCGTCCGCTGCACACCATTACCGAGGTCTTGCTCAACGTGGTGGCTACGCACAAGAGTCTCCAAACTCGAGCGTGTGAGCTCGCGATCATGCATGAGAAGCGGCTTGAGCTGGTCGTAGTCGGCCGAGAGATTCCTACGCAGCATCGCAAGGACCTCTCGGTCTGTGATCTCATCGCCGTTGACGGCACGAATTGTAGACAGCACCGTGTCAAACCTAAGAAAGTAATCCCTCGGTTCCTTTCCGAGTTGCATCTTCATGTTGGTGAGAGACAGCTTCAGGGCCTCCTTCTCGGCGTTACTCATCGGGAGGCAGAACTCGTGGGTAGCCTCCCACGCCCCAAACACAGTCCCAGCTTCCAAGGTTTTAGCTTGAAATTTGGCCCCCTTCGTGGCGCGAGTGAGGTACTCAGAAGCACACTCATGGTCACGCACGCGCTGCTCACCGTGAAAGCGGACGTTTTCGCTCCTTGACGTGTGGATGAGCCAGATGTCTTGATCAGGACTCGCCGGCTTCGCCAGTGTGTGTACAAGACCTCGCGGCTGAGGAAGGCCTCGAACACCCCCTTGAAAAGCGGGAAGTTGCCGTCGTACACCGGTGGCTTCCGGTCCCTACGCTGCATTCGATCATCCTGCAAAAAAATAGCCGCTCCCCCGGCTCCAAAAGTGGCCGCCCCCCCGGCGACTCCATCCCTACGGTACCCAGACGCATAGCCGGCGCCGTCCATCCTAAAGTTACCAGCCGTGTAACCGGCATCACCCACCCTATCTCTAGTAGCGTCTTCCGCTGAACTCCTCCCCTCTGCCTCCTCAACTCTCCTCTGCAGATCCGCCATCTTGGCTGCCGCGGCTGCCGCTTCCCCCGCTGCAGGCTCGGCTGCACTTTCGGCTTCCTGCTTCATCTTCTCCATGTCTTCTTCTAATTCTTTCTCTCGTGCTTTCGTCATCGTGAACCAACACCTGGCCTAGCTAGGCTCCACTCGATATATCGTGTTAGTGTGCACTGCCGCCCTCAGCGGTCGGTGGTGTTGAGACTGGGTGCAATGTTATCCCAGGAATAGCAGATGAAAAAAGACCATGTTTTATACATATCCGTCACGCAAGCCCCTCAGGCAAGTGAGCTCGTGGGCTCTTTCTCTCTCAAGCGCCAGGGGTCTTCTCCTACCCCCCATACACTTCATACCCATACACGTACCCCCCTCCATCAAGCGCATACAGGGCATGTAGATCGGACACATATCCGAAGTACCACAAACACAAGCAAGTATTAACTACGTAGTCAATGCTTATTCCGACCTCTTTGAGATAGATTGGCGAGATGGTCCGCCGGTCCTTGTGGCATCTGATCACACGACGTCTATCGCTCTGTCCTTCGCTGCACGCATTATATTTGCGGCTCTCCGCTTACACGAGGCACTAGGTCTGACCCTCTGTCGCTTCCCTCTCTGTCTGTCTGGATCTACGTTGAGAGGGCTCCCTTTCGGGTCTTCTCGGGCCCTCTCACAGCGGTCCATTTCCTCGTTTCCATCTAATCCCGATCTTTGGAGCTCGCTGTTGTTTTCTTTCGTTCCAGTTTCTCTCTCATGTCTCATCATTGCGTCTGGCTCGTTCATCACACCCGGCTCGGTCGCACGGAACCTTTCTCCCTTTCACACACGTCACACTTTTTCGTCGTGCCGCCAGTCTCTCTGCCCTCTTACACAACGACAGCAGTCTGTCTCTCCCTCGAACATGTTAAGTTTTTTTTCATCCAGATTCATTTCCCGTTTTCATTTTTTGACTGCGCCTCTCACAGGGCTTTAGTCCAGTCTCTCTCTCTTTCGGGCAGCCAGTAGTCTGCTCCCTGACACGTCGGACTTTCAAATGTTTCAAAATACACGCGTTCGTCTCTCTGGGATCTCGCATGTACGCGCCGAACATGCATATGTACAAAAAAATCATCTCTCTCCGGGATCTTTTCAGGGCTGGCTTCGTTTATCTCCGTTTCTCGCGTGCACCCAAGCAACCCTAATATTCATGGGAACGTACTTCCCGGGAATCTCACAGCCACGGCATGCCACAAACGAAGGCCCCATTCCAAACGCTGACTAACATCGTGCATCAAACACCAAGCAACATTCGTCTTGCGGTACGCTTCTCTCAGCGTGGCGGCGTAAGCCGCCAGCACGCCTTGTACATTTTATCTGTCGTGGCCGGGTACTGCAGCTCTGCAGTTCTGCGCGACCGAACAAACATAGTCTATATATTAAGCGTGCTACGTGCTCGAATAAAATAGGATTATTTGAGCACTACGAGCGAGACAGCGTTCTTCGCTTGTAGGCAAAACAACAACACGCAGACCCCTATCGCCGGTAGCACCGGGAAAAAACGGGCGTGGTGCACGCAGCAAGCCTAACTTGTGAACCACGTTCTTTGGCAGCAATTCTCGCTGCAACGTTCTTGGTCCGCGGCCAAACTGTCGAACAACAAGATGAGTGCTTCTTCTGCGCGTGTATCATGCTGCATGGTGGTTCAGTAAGGAGACCGCCGACGACAAGTATGGAGGGGGCCAGATGCGACCGAAACATAGAACACGCACCTCGCAGGAGCCTGGAACTCCTTGTTCATGATAGCATCGGCAGCCCGAAAGTACTCAGCTGCAACAGCACTCCCGTACGTCTCTGTTTCCGGTGAGGGGTCGTGGCAGTGATCGAGGCGGGCAGACCGTGGGTCGCGTAAGGGTTGGAGCACAAAGTAAGCTCCGTTGATCGCAGAAGAAACACGAATACTATACCGTTCGGGCGAAGCACTCACATACGAGGAGACATATCACCGTGTTCGCTGTGGTCGATCACCGATACAGATGTTCTGTATCGCCGAACAGACATCGCACATGTACGAAGCAAGCCCGCCAAGCGAAACGTGAGGCAGAACTATGGCCCACACATATCCGACGGACAACTCTTGGGCATGCCAGTATATCGCGTCACCGTGAGAACGGAAATACATTGGCCTTCGAACGATCAGCAAACAGTTCCCGGCTTAAAACACAAATTAAAGGAGATAGGAACAGAACATCATACCAGCTGCTAAGAATCCAACTGCCCCCCCTTTCGTCAAGAACAACGATAGCCCAGCACCCACCCGCGTCCAACAAGTCCGGTTTCTCCGTGACCGCTCGAGGTCCACCTCCTTTGCCATCGCCTCCCGATGACAACGCCTCCCCTCGGTAAAGGAGCCCGCTTGATCGCCGCACGATATCCAGTAATGGTCGCTACCGTCACACATGAGGAATGCGTTAATGTGTGAGACGTATAGCAGGGGGCAAACGCATACGTTCGAGGCAAAAGGCACAGGGTGTAGCAGTTGGTTTGGGTGAATGATTGACGACAATATCCAGCATTCTGTTCCACTTGTATGCTATATGTGAGTGAGCGTGTTCCCTATTGGCAGCTGCTTCATGGTGACCCGAAATCCAGCTGATCGCTGTACGCTAGCTAGTGTCACACAGCCTCGAAACCTGAGCAGTCAACGCGGTGGTCAAGCAAGTTGGTGATCGACCATGAGAAAGAACGACTGCTTATCCGCGGCAACGCCGTTGGTTTCGTGGGGCTCTGAACGTTCAACATGCCGTTGTGGCGCCGGGGTTTGTGTCCTGGACAGGCAGGCGCGACGCAGTTTTGGCGCTAGTTGTATTGAGGATTCCGTGTCAACTGTGTGTCTCCAACGGTTGTGTGTAGAGGTATCTCTTACAGTAACACATATACAAGTGTGCCTACATGCGCGTGTGAAGAGAAGATCAGGGACAAATGGGTAGATTGTAGAAGCTACTTTGGCAAATGCAGCAAGGTGGCAGTATTTGACGACCAAGACCCTTGAGACAGAAAACTGCAAACACCGGAGAACACAAATCCAATCTGTAATAATCAAGCCGACACAGCCGACACACACACACGTACCCCGTGCGCACGAACCAAAGCCAGCGCCGAAGGTAGCTCCAGTTCCACGACCATCTCTCCGGCCCTCGTCGCGCTGCTGCAATCGTCGCTAGATGTTGGACATCTCGTCAGCGCATCCGCGAAAGCTGCGTACGCCGCCGTTAGTTCGGCACCACCTTTGGCGCTGTCGGCGAGGGAGGTGGCGCTGGCCGGGATCACAGCTGGCAAGGAGAGTGCCACGGTGCATTGGTGTTTGAGCCAACCTCCCCTGCCGGAGTACGGAGGGGATGAACGCTAGTATGTAGGTTACGTGCGCTGACTTTCAGACCTTTCAATAGTCACTTGCGATGAATCATCTTGTCTGCTCTTTAAAAGGGCCAATACAGAGTAGTCGCGATGTTTTAGGTCAATAAACAACGTATTTGACGCACTCCATACGTCCTTCACACACGCCAAACATCCACAGACACCGCCATCTCGCGTGCTCCCCAGAGATGGTCAGGATCTCAAGAGGTCCCCGGGGAGGGTCGGGGGGCATCCCCACAGGAAAGCCCATTCACGGTTGCATTTCAATCTCATATTGGTTTGCATTCGCCGTGACCGTTACCTCGCTCCCTTGTTGCTGCCCCTGGAGTATTTCTCTTTCGTTTACAGGTGGAAATCCGCTCTTACTTCGTGGTGATGAGCGGGGGGTACGCCGAACCATGACCTTTCTCTCCTACTTCGGAAGGGGGGAAATATATTCAACTTGTGACACTGATGCTCACTTGGCTGCATCAAAGCTCGTAAGGGAATAGTCTAGGTGAAGCCGTACTTTGTGCAGATCGATACTACTAAAAGGTGTGCGGGATTCTGCGGAAATGAGTGCAAAAAGTAAAGATCCATCCGCGCAGCCTGGGTGATGGAAGTCCAATAAGAGGTGAGCGTGGTACGTGGGGACCCCATACACACTGAACCCCCGGAGTTTGGAACATGTGCATGAACAACAGGAGGAACCACGAGTTAACTCCCTGTTGGTGTGTATACAGGCACACCCTCATCACTATCACCGCCGCCGCTAGGGCTTACATGGCTCGCGAGCCCGTGTCTCCCTACTTCCGCGACTCTGCTTGGCATCCTCATGCACATTGTGTGTTGGACGCCCCCTTCCCGCGCAGCGTCACGTATGTGTCGAAAACGAATAGCAAGCGCTAATAGTATCGGTGCAGAACATGGCGTCGCCTCAAGGAGCGATCATGTTGTTGTTGGCATGTTGACACTCTCCCGCGTTGAATGCATTCGCATTGTCTTGATGAGCCTTTCTACTGTCTTAGCCCCCGACCTACAGCGCAAAAGCACGCACCTTGGTGAGGCGCTAAAGTTGGATTGCATGCGCATTTCGATAGTCCTCTCTCGGGTTTTCTTGGCCTGGCACTCTTATTCCGAATGCATCTCCATCTTCCCATCCTCCGTCTCCATGTCTCTCACTATCGGTGTTTCTGTCAATCCATTGGTTGTTGCTGCCACCACCATTCACGAGCATATTACCGAAGAGGGAGCTAGCGCGCGACAGGGATTCCATCGCACACGCAACCGATTATGTAGCTCCAAGCACTCCGTTCTACAACGCTCTGGCTCCTTCCGTTTGTCTAGACGTGAGATTTATGCTACATCTAGACTTCATTCTACACGCAAACTACTACAGCACGCTCGACCACTTACGAACCGCTTGTTGTGCGTGGGGCTCGACGCTTGTTGGTTGCCTCAAACCGACCACGTGTTTTCACATGTCCCAAACTCGGTTTAGAGCAGGCATCCACCTATGTAGGATACACGGGGTGTCAAGGGTGCACCAATGAAATCTTCTTCGACACCAATAAACCTACCTTCATCTATGGGACATTTTTGGGAGGGGGGGGGGTACCACCCCCCCCCGAACGCCATAAAAACTTCTATAATCAAACCATAAAAACATTTATTTTTATGTCAAAAGAACACCGCGTATTATAGGGGGTAGTTGTGTGCATCTGCGTGCCCCCTAGCCATGAACGCTCAGCTCGTGCGCGCTTGCCGCGCTGCACGCTGTATTGCGTATACCACAGCTAGACGACGAGAGGGAGAGCTTGATCAAAGGGGTCGTAGGTCTGGCCCAGGTCGTTACGGCGCAACGTTAGCAAAAAATGTTCTCGGCGCTCAGTAGACGTAGGAGGAGGAGGAGGAGGAGGAGGAGGAGGAAGAGGAGCCGGACGTGAGCTTGAAGAAGCGTAAACGCACCCCGAACTGCGTTTTGTTGGCGTACTTGCGCGTGCGAGAATGAACATCGGAAAATTGATGGTAGTCGAACGATAGGAGTTTTTGCGTGCTCTTCCTATATGACATACGTTCCACGGTTGGTTTCCGTCGAGCTTTGGGGTTCTCCGTTCACGCGCGTAGAGTGAGCCGTAATGCGACCCTGGGTTATTCGGTGAGAATATATTCGAGGATGTGATGTGGATGGTGTGGATGATTGTCGTGTGGTTTCCAGCCACACACGATCTTAGCGCATGCATATTTAGTGCCTAATAGTGCCACACAGTGTCTCACCTGTGCACTATTGAATGCACACGATTGAAAAAACACAAAACATGAGGAAACAAAGAAATATCTGCTCACATCGTGTGTCCCGGGGGAGGGAAGGGTACCTAGGTGTGCGGGATAACTTTTTTCATGCGCCGTTGGGGTTCTTGCTCATACGCCGATTTCCCCATGCAGAGGACGCATGTCAATTTGCGTGGATTTTAACGTGACACCAAGCCTACGCAAGGGTCCTCACAATAACAAAGCGCCGTAAAAAGGGTTTGGCGTTTCGCAGAACCAAACGAAACAACTTGGATTTAGAGCAAGGGGTTTGCACAAAGAAGCTTTTACAAGGGGAACGACAAAAGAGACCGAAAAAGAATCTTTACTACTGTTTTTCGCCGTAGATCAAAAAGTTCTATTGTGCCAAATCCAAAGCCTCTACATGACTTCGCAGTATGAGAGCACCGGGTGAACCAGCTACATTCGCGTTTAATCCGTTTCTTGATTGGGTAAATACGCATGAAGAACGGCGGCGACGCGTCAAACGACCCAGAAGATCGGCACTTTGGTCCAATTGGGACTGCTGCTGCATCTACGTGTAGTTAAAATCGTTCCTGGCTGTCTGCTGCTGCTATCAACGCATGCGACGCCATTCACACACCACATGAATACGCTCTGGCACTTTCGAGCAGTGTGGTTGCTTGCGCCGTGCTGTAGCTGTCGGCAGGTGCAGCGTGACTTCTGCGCTTGTTCACCAAACCTGCGGGACGATTGTACTCAAATCGCAAAACTTAGGGCACCTCGATCTCGCGCGACGAGGCCTAAACTGAAAAGCGGCACATTTCTGATCGACGAAGTTCCTCAGGCTGGTATGATTTCTACAAAACGACGTAGAGGTTTGTGTCACTAGGGATAAGCGCCAATGGGGACAAATGAGATTCTACAGCGGTCGGAGGGGGCACCCCCCGGGATTTATTATCTAGCAGTTTGACCTGTAAGAAAAACGTGTATATCGTTGGGCAAGACAAATACCATCGTGGAGCCCCGGGGGCACAGGCAACGGCGAGGAGCCGGGCGTAGCCCTAAGGCCAGTTGTCAGGCCGTGTATTAACGAGATGCCATAAATCAAAATCTAAATGTGGACAATTTCAAAATCAAAATGCGTTATCGTGGAAAACTGAAAAAGATTGGGTCGTGTATGTTCACGAGGATAGGAGACAGATGAGGCAAAAAATCAAAAAGATCTGTCGCCAGGGGAAGAGCCAGCAGCGAAGCGGTGATTTTTCGAGGGTGGGTATATTTTCTTCTATTTTTCTCTTTTTCTCTCTTTTTCTGTGCCAGATGGCCTTGTCTCTGCTTGCGTTGTGAAGTACCAAGATTGAACCAACGGGGTGTACCTCATTCTCTCCGGCCCGTGATGGTGACTCCTAGTCTCAGTTGTTACCTCGCATAGCACGCAGAGGGAGTGGAGGACTCCAGAATATCTGTCGTTGATGTCTATTGACTTGCGGACCCCTCGGGGCCATTTTATTTGAGTTACCTGTTAAGGGTAAGTTAGCCTGCGACCACGGGAATCGACCGCGTCGAGTGTTGTATCAGTACGGACATACGAAGGTACTGGGTAGAGAGAGATCGGAACGGTTTTTCATGTGAAGACAACAACAATTGCGCTCTTCTGTTCACGTGTTAGCCGATATCTCGCCAAATACATATCGAGTTGCCTCAAGATTGGTATCCGGAAGGAGCCGGTAACATGGGCTGTCGGGCAATGACAAGGTTTGGAGCCGTGAGGTGCCGAATGCGCCGGAAAAAAAATGATGTGTTGAAGCAAAAATGCCAACGGTTGCGAGCGGTCACTTCAAGTTCGGTGTTTTGGGACTCCACGGGTTTGGCGACAACTTTCCGAAGAAGGAAGCAACAGCAACAGCAACGCCACGCGGCGGGAGGTACCTCTCTGCTCCATCTTTCAAACCCAAGGTCTGCTACCGTGGGGTATCGTGCGTATAGGGAAAAAAGTTTTGGTTGACCATAAAATATCCACGTCAGAGAGCGGTTAGTTCAAGTTTGCGCCGAACGTCTGCTCACAGTATAGTTTTTCAGCGATAACTCTTCGAAGGAGGAAGCAACAGCATTAGCAATGCCACGCGACGGGAGGTAGCTCTACCCACCATCTTTCTAGTACAAGGTTAGATGCCATGGGGTGTGGTGAGTGTGGAGAAAATAGGTTGCAACTACCCACTCCCGCACTGAACAGCCCGAAAAAGCTGCGCAGCCCTGTTCTGATTGTCAATTCGTTCACCGCTTGTCACGATCGGCATTTTCTCCTCGAGCACCCAACGGGCCGGCCCGGTTTTTGGCTTGCCGGCTAGCAGAGTCTTCTGGCTACAACTAACGGCCATGGTGTCGGTGGTAAGGTGCCGATAGTTTTTCATGCGCAGTGTACAGCAGGTTGTGTCGTACACTTGCTTTGCAGCGGTCTCGCGGCAGGTGCTCCAAGCCTTCGAAGTCTTGAACTCCTTGCCACTATAATATTGGTTTTGATAAAAAAAATAGTCCCCCGGGGACTTCTTCCCAGACAGAGAAACTTCCATTAAATCAAGGGGTGTCGTCAGGAGGTAGTAGATATTCGGCCAATAATATCTCGATTTTGACTTTGATTATTTTGTTTGGCACATCGTTAATACACGGCCTTATGGAAAAAGTTTCCGATTTGGAATCCGGGGGTCAACAGAAAATGCTCAACCCCCCGCTACAAGCAGGAGGTTTGCGTACTGGACAGCAAGCACAGCGCACCAGGGCACTTCGTCAGTCCGTCCTCGCCTCACAGACCCCTGTTTGTTATCTTGTATCCGACAAGGCTGTACACTCCGCTACTGCTGTGAGCTTCTCGGAGTCACGTTTGGGTAGCTAGAGTGCATGGGCATAGTATGCGTCGGATATGATTGCACATTCACCATTTCCAGTTTGTCTTATTCATGAGCAATTCCAACCTCAGCGCGCACAAGTATTGTTACACGAGGTGCCATGCCCCGAATCTGAAAGTATCTCCTGTTGGGGTCACCCCGCACTTTCCTGACTTGCAGCCGCCGTATTTTGGGGCCCCGTTCCTATCTGCATGCGCATTGGTTGCATTCTACTGCTGCTGTACGTAGTCCAGTATGTGCATGCATCACAAAGAAAGGCGGGTTGTTGTTTTGAACCCCACGTCAGAAATGAGCACCTTTCTCGTGACAAATTTCTTACATTTTGTTTTAGTCAGGCTCAGGTTCTTACAGCTGCTAGGTTCTTCAGTAAGTAGTTGCGCGCTACACACCGCAACATGTGTGTGCGGATCGCCCCGCCAAGTCGCGATAAATATGGGATGGGATTTATTTGCGACATTCCCAACAATCCCCAGGTTAAGATTAGAACGCGAAGTTATCGCAGTTTAAACTGGTAACCATGGCAATTCTGCTTCAGTTCTAGTGCATACGTGAGTGTGAGAATGAAGGAGGTCAATAGAAGCACACCAATGGGCATAGGGTTTACGTGTGGCAAACGCTCCTCACACGGCAGTCCAGATCAACAACATCAGAGAGAGTTCAGATCGATACACGAACTGATGTAGTTGTACGACGCATTCTAGGTGACCCTTTTGCCCGTCTACGAGAGCGTATTATGCCAACTCGTCACCTTACAGCTCACCTGGTTGACGATTGTCCACTGGCGAAAATTACATGTGCCATGGCCAGGCGAGTCCTCATTCTTGTCGAAAATGAGGTGCTTTGCTGCTACCGCGCTGATAAAGGAGATGAAGAAGCACGGACGGTCGACATTTCAATTTTTTCAGGATCATAAAATGCACGAGGTAGGGCTCCTTTCGTTCTCGCCTGGGGCAATCGCGGGGGCACTTTGACTATGAAGGGATCCAATACTCGTTCGAATTGCAAGGGACTTTGCTCTCTTACCTGACACAAAAGTAAGCACGCGACAACCTGCAATACCCACAGCACCGGTTGATCTGAGAAATGAAACGAAAGAGGCGTTATTCTTTCCCAACGAGTGTATGATCATTGGCTGAGGCGCACAGTCCGTTTCTCGCTGAGGTGGCCGTCGTGCCAAGTTCCGAGCCCAACAGCAATCTGATGGAGAGACGATCAGCGACCAGATGACTGATGGTGGCACCGGAGTAGACGTTGCAGAAATACTTTTGCTGCTCTGGAACCTGCCGCCTATTTCATTTCGCATAGATGGGGCCAGCGGACCTACGGTGCTATGTACGCTTTGACTGGTGTTTGCCCCGCAAATAGCCACAGCTCGCACACAACGCCTTGTTTGATCGGGGGTCGGTGTCGATCGTTCAACAACGGAGCATACGCGATTGGTGTGATGTCTGGCGCGTGCATTGACACCACGGTGGATGTCGTCGCTCGACCTCTCAGCGGTTGGTTGTGTCGGGAGCGCAAATCCGCTTGCACTTCCTATCAATGACTTTTTCGGTGCCGAAAGATCGGGGACGTGCCTCGCCTCAAAGAGATAACATTATGCCGAGAGACCCAGAGAGAGACAAAGCACACGCATAATAACCATGTGTACACTACCACCGGCGGGAAACAGATATATGCAGCCCAACAGTCGATCAACCCCGTCCCCCGCGTGTGCGAGGGAGAGCGTTGACAGCCCAGACCGAAGCCGATGCGCGATCAACCAACGGTACTGCTGCCTTGGGGCTTGTTGCCCTGATTGCGGTGTGCGCGGCTCCCAGTAACGGGAGTGAAAGGGGGTCCGTCTACCGTGTGCAACTCACTGTAGGAAAGGGTGTACGTGATACGAGTTCCGACAACCGCAGTGGATTCCCTCGGCGACTGGGCAACCGCACCCCCTCCGCCGAGTTAGGGCGGATAAGTAATGGTCAGGTGATCGCGAGAGGGCGGTACCACCAAATCACAGAACGCAAGAGAAACAAAACCAACAAAAACAAGGAACTCTCTACAGTCTATGCGAGACCAAACGAAAGCCGGCAAAACAAAAAACAAATCCGAAAGCAATCAATGCCGAGAAAAGATTTGGCTTCTCGACGTATACCGCCGCCGCTTCCTTTATGGGTGACGAAAGTCGCGCTGGGCGCTGGGCCCTTATTACACCATGTACGTTCTCCGTGATCACCGTTGTACGGCCGGGAACACATGCGCACGTTCGCCCAGTTCGTCGATTCCTCTCTTGTCGATTTCGAAATGCTTTTCTGTACCCCCATGTCTACCGACACAAGTCTGCAAATCAGAAAGGCCATGCCTACAACAAAGGTGGTTTCATGCTCATGCGCTGCGCACACCCCTAAAAGCCCAGCATCTAATTCGTCGGTGCAGCAATTGAATGCAAGTCCAACCACATACTGAACACCTTTGTTACCAACCCAATACCACCACCCCCCTCTTGTCGGTTGCACGTCCAAACACGTGCTGTTTCGGGCGGCGTGCTTGTCTGCAACCTGTCCTCCAACGAGAGTCTGCAGAACGAATAAGCTGCGTCTACGGCAAGGGTAGTTTCATGTACGTACGGTACGCTGCACGCCCCTTAACGCCCGGCATTTAGCTCGTCTGTGCAGCAATAGAATGCAAGTCCAACCACTTTTGAATGTTTTTGTTCCGGACCCATTCCATCCCGCCCTTCCCGTCAGTTACGCGCGTCATTTCGTCCCGGAAGTCGATGTACCCATCATCCCCCCTGGCCGTCTTACGCCTGCTGAGTTCCTCCTTGTCCATGAATTTCTTCACCGCTTCAAACGAGGCCCTTGTATCCTGTTGCATGTCCGCGCCGATATCCTCTTCGCCCGATATGACACGAAGCAGCGCGTCCTCGTTGAGAGTACGGTCGACCAACTCCTCGACCAACCCATCTTTGACGTCCTTCAGGAAATCCGACATGTCCATGTCCAGTCCTGTCATTGTCTTCAGCGCCACCTTTGCGGTCACGACCGCCACCTGGGAACAGAGCACACACATAAAGTACGAGGTTGACGAAAGAAATTCACCACAGCTCAGCATTGCTCATGTTTCAAGGCATACCTCAGCAATCCAGTCCCAATATTCAAAGTCATAAATGGAGTCATGTTTAACACGAGGGAAATTCGTCTTTCGAAGTGCGACTTCAGCCGAAAAGGTGAGGTGACTCACCAGCGTAGCACCCCAAACATCGTAGATAATCTTCAAGTGTCACAATCCTCGTTGTACCTGAAGCACCGGCGATATTTTCTTAACCCAGCCACGCGTCTCCTGAATCCGATAGCCTTCGCCACCATAGCCGCACGGCACCGTAGTCATGTCGACCGGGCACAAGAAGTGCAGCGTCATGTCTTTCTTTCCCACGCCACGAATCTTGCCAAGCCATCTTTTGACACCATGAGCGTTCGACGAGGTGCCATTAGATCCAACCTCCTTTACGACCACGAGGCGAGGGTAGCGGTAGTTCGGGTCCAGCAAGTTCTCTAGGCGCATGAGGCTCTCGTGGGTGCTCTCTGCCACCTTGTCCAGTGTTCTTTTCACCACGACCAACTCGTTCTTCACGTCGTCGAACTTTGCTTTGGTGTCGTCAAACCCTCTCTTCATCTCGCCCTGTACCTCGCCAAACCCTCTCTTGAGCTCGTCAACCGCGGCCTTGGCATCGCCAAACCCTCCATTCATCTCAACCTTCACCTCGTTGAACCCCCCCTTCATAGCTATGGCCACGTCGTCGATCTTTTGAATCAACTTGTTCTCATCCTTCGAGTTACCCTGTGACGCACACGAGGCAGGGAAAGGTACAAGGAGTGGCATAGCAAAATTACGCACCTGTACTCGACCTACTTACACAATTTCGCTTTTCACAACGAACACCACCTTTGTTTGATTTCAACACCAGTGCTAAGACACCATGATCCGGGCAGAACGGAGTGGCGGTATTGTAGACTAGTCTAGGCAACACTTCTTCCCTCAGAAACAACGTTGTGAACGGGTGCGATAGGATACATGTCGAACGTCTTTTCGTTGTTGGGCCCTTCTACCCGTGCTATAGTGAAGTGGCCGTGCTTAACCCGTGCAGAGAGAATCATGCTACTATCGTGCGGGAGTAGAAGCGCAAGAGCGAGGCAAGACGAGATCATGCTTCTCTTCGTCGCCTACGCTAGAAGGCTCTGAGATGTCAACTGCAAAACTAAACACGCCAAATCCAAGCACCATGACATCATGTCAACACTTGATGATGCACAAAACGATCGACAGGCTACTGGGACAGTCCAAAAGACTGATGGGCCGGTGGTCATCCCCTATGGCACACGAAACCGGCAAAGTTTGCCTACAGAAGAACTACGAAATGATCTTCTCTACCGAATAGTTTGGCAACACACGTTGTTGTGGCTAAATCGTTTACATGGTTTTCCAACTGAGGATATGCAGCCCATTCTCACCGTCGGGTGAGAGAAGGAGTACCGACCCTCCAGGACCACGAACCTCGCCATCACCTCGTGGAAAATCATGTCTGTCGAGCGGAAATGAGTGGTACAAGAAACTCAGCACTTCCTAACGGTTCTATGACTTAGCACGACGTTCATGATCGCAATGTGAGAAGCCAGCGAGAGGTGACGGCAGCGGTCGACATCGAACCGGGCTGGGGTCTATTCACATCCAACTAAACACAACGAATATTGACCGCACTCTCCGCACCGAGTTTTCGAGACGTACAGTGTAGTCGCACGCACAACATCACCTAGATGGTGACCTAGCAGGGCCCCGAGAACACAACAGAAACTGGAACCTTGCTTGTGATCATTCCAGAAATATTTTACGGCCGTTCAGTAGGCCTTTTGGTCGAACCAAAGGACATGCAGGGTTAGCCGGTAAAGACAGGAATACAGCCATCGTTGCCGGAAAAAAAATGAATGAGCTCACACGTCGGACCGATCGAACAGGACTGCAAAAAAAAAGGTTGAAATAAATAGTTTGTGTTCAGTTTTCGCACAGAGTTGGCCCACACGATTGCAATGGCTTCAAAACAGAACCAACAGCGGGTCAGCCGTACGCTTCACGGCCACCCACCGTGCGTGGGTCCCGAGGCGCTCACTGGACTGCAACGCTTTGTCGTAGTATGTTGTCTCGCGATTTGTTACGGGGACCCCACTACAGTATGTATTGCAAGTTGGTCGCGCACACGTGGAAATGTGTCAAGATATCGTCATTTCATCGGTGGAAAGAACGGTGATCACTCAACTAAGCACACGAACAAAGTACACGTGCCGCAACCAAATATTTACCAATACCAAAGCTAGAAGGAAAAGTGACCGCTTTTAACCGACCGACGACTCGTCCGTCGCTCTTCGTTGTTCGAAAACTGCCACAACCAACTCGCAGTACCCTGCTGGTCTCCAGTCGCACGCCACGACATTCAAGGTACGATTTTCTGCGCTCGCTGGTTTGTGTGTATTGCGTATTATGCTCGCTCGCGATGCAACACTCACAGATCCTCGCGCAGCAGTACAAACGTACTACGGGTGCGCAGATGGGAGACATTGCATTCAGGGAATGCATGCAAATACCAATATCGCCGGTGCAATTTCGTTCAATATCGCACAATGAGAGCTATCGCACAGGGGTGTGCTCAGCAGAACCAAAGTAGTAAAATAGGTTTCCGTGCAGGGGTGCGGAAATCACGCAAGTCATAGGCATAACATCGAGGGTGCCAAACACGAACGATTCAGAGATGATAAAACAAACTTGCACAACGTTATGCCCCTCGCGCCCTCTTTATAGAAATCCAACATCACCATGGGTCGTGCTTACGTCGGTCCCGTCGGATGTCGACCATGCGCACCAGGTCGATGGCCGCTGCCCCGAGCCCCCTGGTTTCAGGACGGCACTTTGGGCATGCACTGCGCTCCATAAACATGTCTCCAGAGCGAGTCGCCTGACAAGTGATATCCCGTCCATGTGTAGAACTTGTCATGTTGAAGTTATTTAAAAATTAAAGAAAGAAATGTAGAAGCGAGGCAATGGCAGGCGGAAACACACAAGTATCACCAAACACACCAAACAAAAGATGAAATGGCGACTCAGCCCTCGATCATGTCCCCGTACCAATGCCATCACGCCTTCCCGAAACATTCGAAAGGCCAAGATACCTGCCTCATAAACCACCAGCAAAGTGTAATGGCACAATAGCCTCGCGGTGAGCTCGGTCTAGCGCGCAGTGTTCCCAGTTCTGGAAAGCGATATACTTCAACTCGGGGGCTTTCAGAGGGATCAACCCTAATGAAAGCAAGTACGTATTCTTAACGTGTTGACAAAATCGAGAAAGCGCATGTTACACAAGCACCACGCTGAAGCTTGGGCTACAACATACCCGGTCGATCGCATGAAGCTAATCACGCCAGTCAATCGATGACGCATATGTGGTCGATGTGTGCGTCAATCGATCACAATTGGGGTTCACACATGGCTCGCAGAATACGCGACGGGGCTTGCCTTGTTCGCCAACAGCATGGTGTCACCATGCTGGGGACACGTCAGAGAGCCTCTCCAGCGCAGTCCTGGGAAATCCAGCAGCATTAAGCTCACTGCAGACATGACGTATGACAGCACCACCCATGGCGCCGGCGTGCTGATATCGCCGAAAATCTGAGCAGCAAGCTCGTTGTCGGTGGAAGAGTATTCCAAGACCACAGCGAATATTCCTCGCCGACCTACATGTACTTCCCCGAGGCCACCGTGAACAAGAACCCCATATCGCCAGAAGGTTCGCACACCACCAAGACCGCAGCACCGTGTCAACACCTTTTCAATCGCACCAGGCGGTACACCGAGGAATATCTTCCAACTGGCGCTGAGTGCAGGGGTGTGGTCCAAGCAGAACGTGTCGATCGCATGGCCCACACTCTCGGGGCGGTCTGGCTTTAGCCTCAGCAGAACTACGAGGCCCTTCGCAGGATCGTCTTCGAGCGGGAAAGTGAGACCCAAGAATGCAAGAGCAGGGAGCACGTACTCGGACAGACCGTTAGGCCAGATGGCATACGCCAACCTGGGTTCAAGCACACCCTGGCTCTTGAGTCGGCCCCACGAAGCGATGTCTGATGGATCGTCGAGTGTGATGCGCGCGTCACCCGTATCCCCAAGGCTCACAAGGCCGTCAAAGGTCTCTTGATCCTTGTGGTTGAGCAATGGTTTAAGGATTTTTGCCAGCCAAACGACGTCCAGAAAGATAAACTTCTCGTAGCGGATGAGGGATCCATCGAACTCCCTGCATGCACAAGTTATCAAGTGAAAAGGTCGAGTTGGCAATATCCACCCAGGATAAAATCACAAATCATTCGGTGTATGAGGCAGCGGCATTGCTACGCACGTCTCCTCCGAACGAGGCCGACGCCATACTGGAGGCCACCACTCTTGTTGTTCGCAAAGCGATGTACAATACAGAATGGCAGCGATTTGTGCCAAGTTGGTTTCCAGTGGACCTCACCACGGAGCAAAAAAAGGTGCGATATAATATGTTTATTGTACCTGATTAAGAGGGCTCCCTCCAAAGCATTCTTGGCGTTTGTAACCGTGACTCCACTCCTCTCAAGTCCGTCAACTGTTTCCTGCCATTTGATGCTGAGGTCCTCGACCGTGATCCCCTGATACATGGCTGTCTCGCCTCTTGCCGTTTCTGTCGCGTCTCCTCTGTCGGGATCGGGCGACTTGCGCAGTACCACCTCCACGGGATCTCTGGGCAAAAAACGATACAATGATACCGGGGTTGAGAGCATTTGGCATATCCCAAAAGGGGAAGTACTCGGCGCTCACAGCACCCAGTGTTCGAGGATTGCATCCATACGTATGGACGGTAGGGGCCATTAGGACAGGTGACGCAGACCCCAACGTCAACCACAGTTCAAATGAGGGCCACTCGTGTGAACACGAAAGGGCTTTTGGCTCCCAAAATCGACAACACGAACTCGACGGGAGGTGGGCGGGGTTGATTCGCTCGCGAGTCCCTGGTTCTCAACCGACCCACTCGGTAGGCTTAAACTTACGGTATATCGTTCGACTTAGCTTCGAGATGAAGTGACTGGCTCTTCTTCCTCTTTGGGGTTTTGATTGCTCTACGAATAGCGTACCTGCAACCTCCATAAACTGTTCGCCTTCATGCTTCGGTATTTTTTAATGCCCCGCGAGCGGCGGGATGTTCGCTTGATCCATTTTAATGTTTACCCTAGGAAGATTAGATAAGGGTTTCAGCACTTCGTTTCGTCGCCATGACGAGCCCGGAAGAGTAGGTACTGAATAGAGGCCACCACAGGTGTTTTCATGTGAAGACAATGACAAAACCAACAGCAACGCGCGGTTGATGGGCTTCTGTTCAGTGCGGCACCATCGCAAGCCTTGGCAACCTCCGAGTACATCCACAGCACGCAGGCTCCACTATTTTTGTCGGCAGCCTTGCGTGCATAACCCAGAAAGACTGGTTTACACTTCGACACAGAGGTCTAGATGGTGCTCCAGTTTTTCCGTGTTGCACGAGCGAGGTGTTAGGGTGCACTAGCGGTGTGTGTATCGTGCCTTTCGCGCTCTTGACCAAGCAACGGTGCTGGTGCGCAAGGACCTTCAAAAACGGAGACTTGATTTCTTTGTCTCCCCGCGATAGGCACCCAAGAACACGTTCGTAAACGTCACGAACTCGTCGACCCCATTTCATCGGTCTGTTTTCGTCCGCGTTTCAGTCGGGGTTTCGCGAACTCCCCTCTAGATGGAGGCTCAGTTTTTTACGCCGAAACCCCACAAGAACAGGTGAGCTACAAGTCCAGAAGTCCCCCTGGTTCCACTAACGAATGTATACTAAGGCGCTGTAGAGCCGAAGCGTCAAACCGAAATCAAGCCCACCTTCCATGCTCAAGGGCTTCCAGAACAGTGAGGGCAATATCCCAGCTGCGAGGAAGCACCATCTGCGTTCCTCGGAGACCACGTCCGTCAGGCTTGTTGACGAGCCGGTGAAGCAAACTGGGCGAGGGGTTACCGTCTGCCATGTCTCGCCAGTCGCACGCCCAACCCCCCTTCAACTCGTGACTCCCAGTGCTGCTCTCGCCATGCTCACCAACTCCTGTCTCGAAGCAGCTCGTGAGGGAGACGCAGGGCTCCAACCGAACGGGCTGCAAGCCATTGCGAACCCAGCTCGACAGCCACCTCCGACAGGCATGCTCCATTCTTGCGCCAATTTTCCCAGCGTTTCCGCCCGCCAGGTCACACTTGGTGGCGACAAGGATGACGTCGTTGTTGGGAACGCGTCGAGATATTGATCGCAGCCAATCGCATACGCGCAACTCTTCCAGCTTGCGACAGTCTTCCCCAACCTGATCATTGCTTTCGCTGCGGGTCTGCTGTCCGAACTTCCCCGCGTTGCACACGAGCACGCAAACCGCTCGTGGCGTCAAGAACATCTGCAGCAGCCCTGTGTAGGCAACCTGCTGAATGTGCGTTGTGTGAGCAATACATCAAACATCGACTTGCATGTGGCCGCTCATCCATGAGGATTGCGCCTCCGCGAAGTATGGATACACACTCCCACGAGCCATTCTACGTAGGAGCTCCAAGACCCGAGTCACCTTCGAATTTGGAAGCTGGAATGAGCTGTAGATGTCTCCTATCCCCTACCAATCGTTAGTAGGGGTATCAACACGCCTCCAGTCGGCATGATCTAAAAGCAATTGCAGATTACGGTCCAAATCCTCAACAGGTTACTTTCTCCAAGCTTGTGTTGTGTAAGGAAGGCGTGAACACCTCTTTCTCACCTACGCCACGAACCGTGCAAAGTGCAAACATGCAAATTCTCGAACAATGCGCCCCAGCACAACAACACCGTTGCGCCCACTCCCCCGTGAGGGTCTGACTGTCTACCTCGTGGCGGCAACCCCCAAGAAGACGACAAGGCACCATAGTAGCAGTGCGTCTTCTCTACCAGGGCGCTCGACAAAAACACAAGCGGGGGCTTCTCACTGGCTTCGAAAGCGGCCAGGTTGTTGGTGTAGGTTCGGGGCCGGCCAAAGTATCCACCAAAACGGCGTCGGCCCCTCTCTTCCTTCCCCATTGGCCATACTGTACACCGAAGTGAGAACCGAATTCCGCGCGGCCACGCACCCCGCAGGGGTTCGACAGGGTGGTGGTGAACCAAGTCATTTAGTTTACGATATCATGTACCAGATACCAGGTACTCGACTCCCTGCTCAGTGTGGCGCGAGGCACCGCTCATTGGGGATGACCAACTGGAACCGCTCTTGGAAGCACCATTTCGATCGACTTGCAGCACTCGGTGCACCTAGACCTTGGATACTCGCACGACGGGTGGAGAGCGAGTGCTCCTGGCCGACGGTCTCGCGTAAAGCCTCCGTCGGGCACCCTTTCATAACCTTCGGCATGAACAACAAGTGTCACCTGCCCAGCGCAGTCGTACACCCGAACGGATGAGCCTTCTAGCTCCATCGCCTCCACGTCAGCAAAAACCGTGCTCTCCTCCTTCCACTCGCCCGTAGGAGTCGCTTCATTGGCCTTCATGCTCTGGCGCAAGCTGCAGGAGGTAGACGAGAGCACCCGCCAACAAATAATGGAGAGCATGACGCAAATGGGCTCAAAAATGTTCACGCCGCCACTGTTGGTTGTGGAGAATCAACGTTCGAAAGCATGCCGATGCACGGCAAGAGAAAATGTCATTGGTTCCATGTTGTCCCCGACAACAATTTGTTCTACGTGATATTCAAGACCATCGGTTGGGAAGTAAAAGGCGCCAGAAAACCGCAAACGTGCGAGTGTTCGCACCCTCCCTAAGGCCAACTTTCATCACTCGATTGCTCCACGGCCAAGAGAGCACCTGTGCCGAAAGGTGGATTTCGAAACTTCGGATCGAGACCTTTCCTGAGAGACGTATCGGCCGGTTGTCGGATTTGGAGCAATCCGCCGATCGAATTCGGTCTAAGAGGGATATGATCACACGCCCAATCAAGGTACAACGCTCAAACATGAAAAGGCAGGTGGCTACCACCCGCCGGGAATGAAAAACCGTTTTCTGTTGCAAAAACACTTCAAAGGACCATGGTCGATCAAAGTTGATCTGATACCGCTCTGTAAAATACCAATTGCTGTGTCGAACGAGGTCGGTCAAACATATCTGGTGCGAGTGCAGTAGTGGCCAACAGCAAGACGTCGCATCACTGACCTCGTTTTCCCTGCGCCTTCCTGCCCGACAAGAACAACCTTGACGATGCTGCGCTTGATCCTGCAAGGCTCAGCATACAGGTCTTCGAAATAGCCTCTGACAGCCTTCGGGCCTTTGACCACGATGGGCTCTGGCGGCTCAACCCACGGGTTGGTTCCGAGCTTGAGCGACTGAAACTTTCCTTGTTGAATATCATCTAGGACGTCAAGCAACCGGCACAGCTGGCTAGGCATTGGCCCACCTACCAAGTAACGTGGAGCATGCACGTGAAGTGATGAATATCGTCCCTCGAATCACCGGGTGACCACGACCACAGAGAGTAGAGGCTCCAGCAACAAGCTACCGTCTGGCAATGTTCGCAATCACCACGAATCCTACTAACCTTTCTCATGGTAGACACGGGAGCGTCGACGAATTTGAGATGTTACCGAGCGAGGCAGTGCAGCCGCGGCAGGTAAACAGTGCCACCTCGACAAACTACCTCCGACGGACTTCCCGCGTCAATCTCGGGTCGAAATATATCATACAGGGCGGTGCGTGATGTATCAGGTACTTCATTCATATGCCCAACAGAAACTGCACCCGCCTGACGACTCAAGTATTCGTTCCTCACAAGAAAAACTCCTAAGACTAGCTCTGATGAGCTGAGAAATCGAATCTAGCATGCCGGCATGGAGGACAACCAGCGCGATGTACACCAGTTCGTCAGCAATGTATGTAAAGCCATGCTGAATACATGCTAGCCCACTCGCAGGCCGATAGTGACTGCCTCGAGGAACACACCGCTTGCATTGCATTGTCAATGTTGGCGTACCTGACATGCGTTGAGTACCCTCGTCGTGGCCGATGTCTTCGGCGTTTTGGGTGTGGTCCCAGAGAGCTGTCAAGCAAACAAACATTGCCAAGGATAACAACACGCAGGCAGCCAATGGAGTCGCGGAGTCAGAGCACGAATCAAGGAATAAAATCGAGCCTAGCGCGACACATGCTCGGGAACCACAGAGAGCAGTCTCATTCTCTACCACCGTGGGGGGATTGTGGCCGTAAGCCACACATAAGCGTAATCCTGGTTCCGGCATGTGCTCGGGTGGTACAGAAGGTTTTGCGAGCGAGTCTACTCCGGGCACGAGCGTGCAGAAAAAATCTCCTCACCACTTTCAACCCTAAATCGGTCATCACGATGGAACCAACTCCTAGAGTCGAACAACAACATGAACATTGCAACACACGGAGGCTCTTTGACATCTTCAACCTGATCGGTGCTCTGACCACGCAAAACACTGAACCGCGTACTGAACAAAACTTTTAAGGAAAAATATATACACAGAAAGACTACCCATTTGAGACATAACCACAGTCGAACGAGTGTGTTGGAGTCTTTGCAGTGAATCGAGGGAAATCGGCTGCGTATTGGGCTTATTTCGAGTAAATTTACGCCTATACACTGAAAAGTTGTAACAGTGATGCCAGCAGGTGCTAATTACCAAAAAAATGAATAGCTACAAATAGACGCCGCCGCTGCCTAGCGTGCGCCATGTGTATCCACAGATCAATATTCCTCACCGACCCCTGGTTTCTTCCGACCAGGCACAACTCGCAGAGACATATGCAGGCACAAACAGGTGTGTATGGAGGAGGACGAAATGGATGCACACTCCTGTGCTAGCTGCTGCATGTGGTGGTACTATCGTAGTTCTATGCTGCCCGTAAATCGCAAGCTGTTCATATAACTCGTGGTTGAGATTGCCTTGCGCCCTTCCATATTTTTGCGACAGTAAACGGCGAGCGGGGCGACAGAAAACGGTTCAAGCCCACTTGAGCAGCCTGGTCGCGGTACTCTCCGCATCAGCCGCCAGGAAACGGCACTTGGTGGTCTTGGCCAATCAGCGTGGGCCGTCGAGGTCCCCTAGTCAAATGCTATTTGTAACGTTTCGTGCCACCCAACCCCCCCGGTACACCGTTTGCGGCCATCTCAGCTTCGGGTCAAGAAGATCAAATACCACCTCAGCTTAGTCTACCGCAGAGGGCACAAATCGGGCTCAAAACTCTCGAGGTCGACTGAAGTAGTCGCAAGTGGTGGATGGAATGATGTCTCGCGACGGTGATTCGCCGGAAACAATCGTGTCGTTTGGAGCTTCCGGCTGAAGGAGGCCGTCCTGGTCGCCCAAAGGAAACCAAAAAGGTCGTGAGTCTTAACAAGACGATTTTCATTTTGGCATTGGTACTCCTCAGTGGTTTACTTTTCAAGCAGTCTACAAGTCCGAGCAATGGAATCTACCTTCGTGTGAGCTGTGAGCGTTCTCGGTTTGTTTATGATAGCACCTTTTTCTTTCGCGCGTCCGTAGGTGTTTTTTTATGTCGTTCCTTTGTCTCCCGCCGTAAGCCAGCCTTAGTTGGGATTCAGCCTGAGGTAACCGAAAATGTTTCCCAACCTTGACACTGAAAAATGATATGGATGAAGTTCAGGACGATTATATAAGGCCACAGCAGCAACGACAGCACCCAGTATCATCTCCTCGAAGCAAAGAAATATCTTGCTTGTTCACGCGCTAGGGAAGCGCCACGCCCACGTACAGTATCCATCTCGGCAAGCCTCTGTGACACGACGCTCGGACGGCAATCTGATGCCTTACTACACCCAACGACAACCACTCATGACAATATCCGAACGCTCTTTGGCGTTGCCCAAACGCGAGGTTCACAACCGGCAAGGACGCCGGCCACATATGACCCCAACCAGTGGCCTACGCGATTGTCTTCTTACCAGAGAGCTTGTTATGAGCAAGATCCAGCTTCTCAAGAGCACCGAGTCGACCAAGCTCCCGCGGTATTGCACCTGCAACGAGAACCAGTATAAACACACGCGGACCATAGCATCACCAAAGTTGACCCGGCTGCAAACACCAGCGTGAGGCTTCCAACTGCCCGGGAGAGGCCACAACAACGAAATTGGCGGCCGAAAGACACACAACTTCTCTTAAGAAACAGAGAACATGAAGGGTGAAGAAGAACAACCGTTCATGACCCGTTCGCCGGAGGTCAGGCTTGGTGACACCTACACACGGAAGGTCGAGAACAACATCACGCCTCATACGCCAAGCACATCGCAAGTCGTCCAAACGACTACGCCTCGAGCATGTAAAGACTTTTTGACACAAAAAAATGTTGATTCACATGTGACACCCCCGCATGGCCGTAGCGGTAACGACGGGTTCACGACCTCCTCGAGTGTGCAGTGGACGAACGCCCTTCCCATGGCACGACCACCAGCGACTGGAGGGGGCGGAGCGCACCCGTTCTGAAATGTGTACCCACTGGATTCCATGTGTTTGAGTCGCCTTAGCTGACGGGGTCGCTCATACCGCTCTTCTTGGTAGACTTCGCGACCAGCAAACTTTGGTGTTGCACTGAGACCAGTAGACAACAACAATACGCGGGAAAACAATGCAGCTCCTAGATACTCCCAGAACTGCCGAAACAAACCGTCCAGGCTGCCAACCTAGCAACAAATTGTGGCGAAGGGTTAAAACGGGACACTTGAAAACTCACTTGTTAGGCTGTTGCGCGCAAGTCGTAGTGACTTTAAAGCCCCGAGGTGACCCAGCTCTGATGGAATCACGCCTGCATGCAAGCAAGACGACAGGCGCACAAGTTGTTTGGACCACATAAACCTGCACCTCATCGCAAATAGTTCCCTGTCCTGGAAGAAACATGGCGTGTCAGCTAATGGTTGCATAGCTGTTGGCGACAAAGGATGACCTTGTCCATCTTGGTTCGGGCTCAGTAGTTCTTTCGGTTTGTTCGTGACTCTTCGCATCTACGGTCTTTTACTTCCTCTGATTGGTCGAGCGTTGGTTCGGGCGGTAGGTTACTCTCCCGCGCCCTCTCTCTGTTCCGCAATCTGACAACGAGGCGCAGATGCATTCTCGGCCAGTTCGCGACAGTTGCCCGTGGGTGAGCGTTAGGGCTAGGCTGGGTTGGTTCGGCGACCGTGTGTGACAAATCCCATGTGCGGAGCCTCGGTTCAACATCCGGCTCGACCTAAAGATTCACTAACAGACCGTAAGTAGAACTCTTTGGGCTACACAACTCCACATTAGGTGCCTGCCGACATGATGAGGGACAAAGAGAGCACTTCCCCACGACCGCGTCATCAGTTTCTGCGTTATACCGAAAGGTAATAACGCTACAAATCGGAGTATCATTCACAAATGTGCCCTGCTATAGCTGCCCATGCGCGACCAACACCTAATGCCAACACTAATCTCGTGTAGCCATAGTCTATGCCAAGGCGGTACACGTCCCGCTACAAGAAAACACGAAAACGATTGGCTCCATGTTTAGAGAACGCCACCTGGAACACAGCCACACACGTTCAAAATAAGCAACTTTTCCGAAATTGGGGTTTGACTCGAGGGCCGTCACACAAATGGAGGTTTGAGACGTACCAACTTCTCGAACGCGAAATCGGACTCATCGAAGCAGCGAGAGAAATACTATGCAACACCAGTGCCGTAGGAAAACAATCCCACCGCATGCATCTGCCCACCGTTGGTCAATCGCACCTCACACTCATGCCGTGACACCCTTGATATGCATCTTGAGGTCCAAAGGTTGGCGACAACCGTTCAGCCTAGACAAGTATCATAGTCACCAACAAAAACCTGCATAGTCTAATGCAGTCGAGGCAAAGACTTCGTTTGCTTGCCCAACGTCCTGGGGAGAGCCACAACCACACACAACATCCCTCTCGGCACGCCTCTGTTACACGACACCTCATGATTCACCCAACCCAACGGCCCAACCGGTCACGCACCAAGACGATGCCCGTACGCTCTTTGTCGTCGGTCAAGCACGAAGTTCGTAACCGACGAAGTTTACAACCAACAAGGTTGGTAACCGACAAGAGCACGAGCCAATTTGTGACCCAAACGTGTGACACATTCGAACACTGGTCTTGCTTACCGGAGAGCTGGTTGCTGCTAAGATGCAGCGTCTCAAGAGCACGGAGTCCACCAAGCTCCCGCGGTATGACGCCTGCTAGCAGCATCAGCAATAAAAACGTCATCATACACGAACCACAGTATCGGCAAGAAGAGACCCGAATGCAACACCAGCGTGAGGCTTCCAACTACGCGGTGGCGGCAACAACAACAATCTGCGCGACCGAGCAGCCCAACTCCTTTGAAGAAACATAGACAAGAAGAAGGACGCAAGAGCAACTGCCAAGTACCCGTTTGCAGGGGGCTCCGCGACGATCGCCCACAACAGGATCACACCTCACACTCCGCAACCTTGCAAGCCGTGCAACAACTAGTCTACGCCACGAGCATGTAAATATCTGTTGACGTACAATTCGTTGATTCAGATGTGAGCCCCCTCATGGCTGTAGCGGAAATGGCGGGTCACGACCGCATCGAGGTGCGCAGTCGACAAAGCCCCTACACATGGTACCACCACCACATGCCAGAGGGGGCAGAGCATACCTGTCGTGACACATGGATCATCTGTATTAGGGGTGCTTTCCTTGACTTGGCAGACGGGGTCGCTTATGACGCTCTTCTTGGTAAACTTCGCGACCAGCAAACTTTCGTATTGCACCGTGAGGGCAGCAGACGACAACCCTACGCCGGGAAGCAAGCAGCTGCTGGATACTCTCATCAAAACTGTAAAAACAGACCGTTCACGCCGCCAGCCTATATGATAACAGCAAATGGCAGCGAATGCATGACCTCATAAAAAAAACACTTGCTTAAACTGACCGGTTAGGCCATTCATCGAAAGTCTCAGCTCCTTCATAGCCCCGAGCTGACCCAGCTCCGATGGAATCGCGCCTGCATGCAAGCAAGACAACAGGCGCACAACGTGTTTGGATCACATAAACCTGTGCCTCATCGTAAACGGCTCCCTGCCCTCCACAAGCCATCGCGTGTGTCCGCTGACGGTTGTACACCTGTCGGCGAAAAAGGATTAGGATTACCCTGTTCATTGTGGGTTGGGCTGTACACATCCGCACATCGAGGTGCCTACCTAGATGATGAGAGAGGCGAGAGCCACTTGCCCTTTCCCACGACTGCGTCATCCCTTTCCGCGCTCTCCAGAAAGGTTACCCCTCTAAAACGTTGGAATAGGGTAAACAACTTTGTACCTGCCGTCAATACTCGCCATTCGCGACGAACACCTAGCGGCAACGCCAATCTCGTGTAGCCATGTGCCGAGGCGGTACACGCCCCGTCATAAACTTGCACGAAAATGATTGGCCCCACGTTTAGAGAAACCCACGCGGGACGGTCACGCACGTTCGTGATGAGCATTCTAAGTTGCCGCAATCGGCGTTTGACTCGAGGGCCGTCACATAATTGGAGTTTTGAGCCTCACCAACTTTCCGAACGCGAAATCGGACTCATCGCAACGGCGAGCAAAAACACTTGAAAAGCACCACTGCCGTAGGAAAACAATTCCACTGCATGAATCTGCTCGCAGTTCGTCAATCGCCACCTCACACTCATGCCGTGGTACTAACCTTGTCGTCGTGCTTCTTGCGGTTGAAAGGTTGGCCACAACTGTTCAGCCTAGACAAGCAACCAAACCTGCCTAGTATCTAGAATTACGTTGCTTGTCCACGCGCCTGACGAGCGCCAGGCACACTATCTCGGCACGTCGCTGTGACACACACCCGTTGACTCACCACACCTAACGACCACGACTCAAGACAACGTCCACACGATCCTCAGCGTAAACACGAGGTTCACAATCGACACGCGAGCCAATCCGTGACCCCAACCTATGACCGATGCGAACACTGGTCTTGCATACCGGAGAGCTGGTTGAAGTTAACATCCAGCTTCTCAAGAGCACCGAGTCTGCCAAGCTCCCGGGGTATCACACCTGCAAACAGCACCAGCGACAACACACACCACCGCACGCGGACCACATCAACAGCAAGAACTGACCCGATTGCAACGCCAGCGTGAGGTTGTCAAACTCGACAGAGGCCATGACGACGAAACTGGCGACCGAAACACACACAACTCCTCTGCAAAAACGTAGACAAGAAGGGTCACGAAGAACAACGTCCGTCACCCATTTGCAGGAGGGTAGGATTGGTGACACCTACACACCGTTCACAAAACGACCACACCTCATCTTCCACAACATCGCACGTCGTCTCAAGGCTATATAGGACACCAACATGAAGAGCCCTTTCGACATGCACTTCGCTGATTCAGATGTGAGCCCCCGCATGGCTGTAGCGGAAATGACGGGTTCACGACCTCCTCGAGGTGTGAGGTGCAGTGGACGAAAGCCCTACCAATGGTTCGACCACCGGCGCCAGAGGGGGCAGAGCATACCCGTTGTGTTTGTAGATCAACTGGATTTTGGGTGGTCCTTGCCTTGGCAGACGGCGTCGCTTATGCCGCGACACTTTGCGACAAGAAAACATTCGTATTGCACCATGAAGTCAGTAGACGACAACAATACGCCGGTCAAAATTTGAGTATATAAGTCTCCCGAACGTTACGAAACGGCGATGACATATACAAAACAGCGAGGAAAATATATACTAGTAAAACGACACTACCCTCGGAAAACAAATTCCACTGCAAACATCTGCCCAACGTTCCTCGATCACACCTCACACCAACTCTTCAGTCAAGGCAAGTATCGCAGCAATCAACAATACCCTGCTCAGTCTCGTCCGTTCGAGGCAAAGGAATATATTGCCTGTCGAAGCACCTGGAGAGCGCCACGTCCACAGACAACATCCGTCTCGGCACGCCTCTGCCACACACCACCCGATGATTCACCACACTGGACGCGTCGTCGACCGCCTTT